CAGTAACGGTCAAGACTTCGTCGACACAGGCCCCACCGCCGGCATCAACACCGACTAAGAAGGTCTCACCAGATGCGACATGTGGTGGCACCAAGGGTTACACATGTCTGGGGTTCGCTGAAGGCAACTGCTGCAGTGCGAGTGGCTGGTGTGGTTCAACATCTGCATACGTGAGTACCCGCCTACGCTTTGAATGACTATATACTGATTTTAGCAGTGTGGAACTGGATGCCAGTCTGGCTTCGGAAACTGTGGCAGCAACACCGGATCGGGATCTACTACCAGCAAGTCTTCTTCAGCTGCACCATCGTCAACACCATCTGGATCTGGATCTGCTCTTCAATGCTTGAACGGAAAGGATGTGCCGTACAAGATGACCTCGGATGCTGAGTACTCTGAGCTCTCAGAGCCCTACAACTTGCGCGTTCCGTTCAAGCCGGCTGTCATCGTTCTTCCTACCACCAACCAGCACGTTCAGGATGCTGTAGTGTGCGCCGCTCAAGCTGGTCTCAAGGTTCAGGCCAAGTCAGGCGGTCACTCTTACGCAAGTTTCAGCTCCGGTGGCAAGGACGGTGCCATGCAGATCAACCTCCAGTCTTTCCAGACCATCCAACTCGACAAGAGCTCTGGTATTGCGACAGTCGGAGGAGGTGTTCGCCTGGGCAACCTAGGAGACGGTATCTACACCCAAGGCAATGCTGCCGTAGCCCAGGGTACCTGCCCCGGTGTCGGTATCGGAGGCCACTACACCCACGGCGGCTACGGCCACACTTCTCGCCACTGGGGATTAGCCATGGATCAGGTCGTTGGAGCGGACGTCGTCCTCGCCGATGGATCCCTCATCAAAGCCTCATCCACAGAGTCTCCCGATATCTTCTGGGCCATCAAGGGCGCAGCCGAGTCCTTCGGTGTCGTCACAAAGTTCTACCTGCAGACGCACGCCGCACCCGCCAGCATCACATACTTCGAGTTTGGCTTCACCGGCATCCACGACTCCAAGAGCGTGTGGACAAACACCTTCATGCACATCCAGGACGTCGCCAAGAACGCTTCTGTGGTGGACAACCGCGTCTCCTTCGGCATCTACCTCGACAACTACGGCGGCTACAGCCTCAGCGGCGCCTTCTTCGGCAGCGTCTCAGAATTCAACGCACAAGTCAAGCCCGAGCTGCTCCGTAGCCTGCCCAACCCCACCGCCACCGTCCAGTCCATGGCCTGGTACGACTACATGGTCAAAGTATCCGGCAAGACCAGCATCAAGGAGCCTCTAACCGGGTACGACGAGCACGAGGACTTCTTCGCCAAGTCCGTCACCGTCCCTGAGTCTATTGGTCTCACTTCCAACGCTCTGGATGCGCTGTACGATTACCTACAGACAGCCGACGGGACGGAATACTACATCATCATCAACCTCTACGGCGGCCCTGGCTCTGCTATCAACAGCAAAGACACCGAGTTTGCTGCCTACAGCGATAGGGATAGTCTGTGGGTGTTGCAGAACTATGGTTATGGGGGTGATTCAATGGAATTCATCAATGGGATTAACAGTGCTATTATCGATGCGCAGCCGCAGACGTCGTTTGGCGCGTATTTGAACTATGTTGATCCCAGTTATGATGCTGCGACTGCGCATAAGCTTTACTATGGCGATGCTGTGTACAGTAGGCTGGCGGCGTTGAAGCAGAAAGTTGACCCGAAGAGCGTGTTCTGGAATCCTCAAGCTATTGGTGCGTAGGAGATGGGGTGGTTGATGAATACGGATGGGTAGATGGGTGTTTGGGCGTTTTTGCATGGGAAGAGCTCCTCATGTATGTCGGGTTGCGTGTACTGTTTATGATCTGTTTAGTAATGAAACCATTGCAACATTCAAGATCACGTCCATTTTCCCCTACGTGGATAATTCAAAGTGACACCGCTGCATCAATCCCCCATCTTGACCACAGGTTCATCTGCTTTAACCGTCTGGTCATGAAGCTCATGAACATTGTTAGCTTCCATCTCATACCTTAACGGCAAGACCTCAGACACGACCGCAGGCTTATCTTCCAGCTCCCCTCCCAATTGCTCCAACCCCTTCCCACGCGGTTGACCAAGCTCCAGTATATGATTCGACGGCGCTTCGTAGACGTCTCCGCTAGGATTCTGACCATCTCTATCGGGCTCGTACTGTTCAATTTCGGTAGCTGGTAATTGGTGTGATACCCTTCTTCTCTTTTCCTGGAGACGCCGAAAGAGTAGCCAGCCAGCTGCTATTCCAAGGGCAAGCGTAGCGGGTATAGCTATGCCGAGACCGATTTTGTGGCCTAGACGGAAGTCGTTGTGCATGTGCTGGTGGACGTTTTGGTCGTGAGGCTTCGATGGATCGGCGATGGTGCTTGTTGGAGTGTTTGCGGTAGAACTCGTTGATGTACTCGCTGAACCTGTACCCGATTCCGTACCTGGCGTGCCGGATACTCTTGAGGCCGACGTCGAAGCCGATGCTGAAGCTGCAGTTGACAATCCTTCTGGTGACCAAAACGACCGCGTCGGCGTAGTAGAAGAACCCACCGCCTCAGACGACGCACCACTCCCCGCGATAAACCCATCCACAATATTAAAATACTGACTAGTATCCGAGTCCCCATCCACGGAAAAAACACTAAGAAAGAACAGCGTCGACTCCTCCAGCCTCGCATTCGTCTTGACATTCCACAGGTAACTCGTTCTATTCACGATACTCGCTGGGGTTCACATATTAGCTTTGCTTCTGTAAGTAACTTTGGAAGCTACGGAACGGAGCGGCCCTTCCTACGCATGGATGAACTTACGCATGATGAACTCGCCGTCGCCGGTCTGGTCCTGGCCGAGGGTTTTGACTTGGTGCAAGACTAGGTCGTAGGGCCCTGTTTCGTCGCCGGGATACCATTGGATGTTTATGGTGTAGTCTTGCTTGTAGGTGGGGGGGTTGCTTAGACCGCCGTCTGTGCCGTGGGTTGGGGGGTTGATGAATTGGATGCCGAGACTGGATGCAAGTGGGAATAGTAGGGATAGCAAAGCGTAAAATGCTAGCGTAGTCATGACGGACTGGACTATCTCCAGAGAGTAGACAATTGCGAGACTGATGATTCCGTAACAGTACTTGAGTGGAACGAGTGATGGTAAACAGCGAGTGACAAGAAACACACGCTGAATGAGATCAGAAGCTGGCAACCGTGCGAAGCAATCGCATGTAGTATCATGGCTCAGACTCCACCCCTCTCATTCCTCTTGTTCCAGCAGCGAGAGGCGTAGGGTGCAACAGCGCCTTGCCACGATGCGCCCTCATGCTGAAACTTCTTTGTACTCATCGGTTTTGGGTGTCAGCCTAGGGTCGACATGATGCAGCCGCCATGATAACTGAAGCAAGCCATAAAATACCAGAGTATGAAAACGAGAAATACATGTAGGTCTGTTCGGGGCCGACAGATGTTCGCACGGGTCCAACAGATGAAAGGGTCCCCAACATTAGCCGTGATCTTAGATCATCAACCCCAACAGACCCATGTATCAGCGCTACCGTGCCACATCAAGCGAGATGTGATAACAGAAAGTTAAGCGCCACACACTCAGCGCAGGGTGAATAATTAGAATTGTAACCGCCCCTAAAGTCTGTGAGCTGCAGGTACCGGTCTCACTGCGGCGTTCGCCCACCATTTGTATAAGGATCGCCCCTCCATGGCGCTTTGCGACCTCGTGCCCTCCTCTTTGTCTTCCCCCCTTTGTTGGCTTTTCCCACCATGTCACTGTCACTACCCAAAGTTTTCAATCATTACACACTGATCGCGCTATGCACATTAGCGTTGGTTTACCACTTTCTCTCCATACAAGACCACTTCACTGTCCGTGCGCCGGGTACGCCCGCGATAGCGCAGCCACCACCGCAAAACGGCGGGTTTCCTAAACGCATTTGGTACAAGTTGGGCCCTAATGGCCTTTCTGAAGAGACGCGAGCATGGACCGACAGCTGTGTGAATAGCAATCCTGATTATCAAGCACACTTCTTGACGGACGACGACGGCGATGAATACGTGAGGAAGACCTTCGCGGAATCCCGACCGGACATCGTCGACGCCTACCTCGCATTACCCGTCCCTATCTACAAAGCCGACATGCTGCGCTATGTCTTGCTGTGGAACGAAGGCGGAATCTGGTCCGACCTAGACGTCTCCTGCGAAGAAGGTGTATCCATGGACGAATGGGTGCCAGCCACATACCAAGGAATCGCTTCGCTAGTAGTAGGCTGGGAGTTCGACCAAGGCTGGCCCGGTGAATATGTCCGCGAATTCGCCAGCTGGACGATAATGGCCAAACCGCGATCGCCACACATGATGCAGGTCATCGAGGATATCCTCCAGACACTGCGAGACAAGACGGCGGAGCACAACATTCCGATCCAGAACGCGACAATGGATATCATGGGGGATGTTGTTGATTTTACGGGTCCCCGGCGCTTGACGCGCAGTGTTTATACGAGCTTGGGGAAGATGCTTGATAGGGAGGTTGACGCGCGCGATATGATGGAGCTTGTGCAGCCGAAGCTGGTGGGCGATGTCTTGGTCATGCCGGGTCGGTCGTTTGCGGCGTCTGCGAATACGTATAAAGAGGAAGAAGAAGCACTCTTACCACCGAAATTGGTTACCCATCATTATGCGGGGACTTGGAAAAATGACAATGGTGGTGAGCAATAGAGGAAAACAATTCGGAAGTCCTTCAAAGAACGCCAGAACTGCGTCCATGAGCATGGTCGGGGAGCAATGGTGACATTTTTATTACGCTTCCTGATCAAGATACGTTTCACCATTGTCGATTCGCTACACGCTTTTCCAGGGTCCTACCGCCGCCTCCACCGCTTTTATCGTGTTGAACAGTAGTCTTGAAAAGGCTGTAAGCGCCATCGGTCGTGTTGTTGAACATCCTTACTCTGGCTGTACTGAGTCCCCCTCTCTCATCACTGAGATAGAATCAGGCCAACGCTTTCGTACCTAAGGAAGATCCGGGTTTCCGTGACAACATTGGAAGTGCCAGTCACCACAGAACCATTTGACGACTCTCTCAAAAGGAGAGTCTCCGAGTTTTGGGCCTTGGTAGCAAGTGAAGACGCGAACCTTCTCCTTGGCGGAGTTCACGTAGATCTCTACGCCAGGCTTCAATGTGTACCACGTGCCTCCATCGATCTTCGCGGCTTCGTAGCGGGCTTCTCGGTTGACAAAGAAGAGCGTAGGATAGCCACGGATCACGTGAGCGGTGATCGTGCCTTTCTCCTTATGGATGCGTACTTCGTTGGGTCGGTCGAAATCGAGGTCGTCAACATATTCTATCTGGTTGTGTAGCGCGATAGTCCATACCCTGGCGCGAAGTTCTGGAGGCAGGCGGAAGAAAAGGTGGAAGGTCCGTGTAGTGGGTGTCTTCGACCATGGAGACGGCCGAGAGAATCGTTCTAACAATACCACTGTATCGTCATCCGAATCGCTCTCAGCGCCGTAATAGATCGACATGGTGTTGGCGAAGCTGTGTCGGTGGGAAGGTGGGTGGGAGTTGCTAAGGCAATCCGTCCGCGGCTGAAGATGGTCGGTTGCTTTTTTAGCGAAGACAGAGTAGACACGGAAATCTGTAGGAAGACTAGAGAAGCGAAACCGAAAGAATTCCCTACCAACGGCCTAGGCAGACGCGTTTGCTTGGTGGTGACGTGATGCCAAGCCTCACGTAGTAATTCACCATGGACCTTGAGGTGCGCCTGTGCATACCACAGATGAGTCGAAATCATCGGGGGCAATGATAATAATGTTTATTCAGCATTGAATTCGAGACAAATGTCTGGCTCTTCGCGCGCGCCGTCAGAGTCAACTGATCAAGGAGCTTCTTGGGTGCCTTCCGCACCCATCGTGAAGTGTCGCGGTTGAGGCCCCAAGAGCAGGTCAACAAGTAATCATACCGCGCAGACCATTCTCCGTAAACTCGAAGCAAGAATGATTGAGCAAAAAAGCAAAAAAAGCTATGCATCTCAACCATGAAGTGAAGAAACATTGGTGTCCTCCCCCCCAACATCTGCTGACAGTCCCACCCGCAAAATCCCGCGGCTCCTGATTCGTCCACTTTCTCCCAGCCCGCCAAGCCCAGCATTCCCGCGCTTTCTCTGCCGCATCAACCTCACCAGACATCACGCCAGACATCACCCTTCCACCCGCGTTTAAACCCCCAACGAACTCGCCAAAGATGTCTGTCTCATCCTTCGGCCACCACGGCAAGACGCCCGCTGCTGTCGTAAGTTGTACCCGGTGCAATTGGAGGCGAGCGGTGGTTTGGGTTTGGCGATGACGAAAGAAGAAGGAAGGAAGCTAATAACTGGGAACAGAGCATGCGCAGCCCGTACAAGGCGTACAGGAGTCCTTTCGGTCCTCAGTATGTATTTTCCGATATCGACATGGGCGCGAAATAGGTGGCGGGCGGATCGGGACTGGGTTGGGAGGGATTGGGGAGGTGCGGGAAGAGAAGGGTGGCTTGCGACGCTGTGATGAGCGGCGGTATGGGCAATTGGCAATCAGGCACACGACCGAATCACACCCGAAAAAGAGGAGGATAAACCCAATCCACGCCCGCGCCGCCGCCCTACCCGACCCACGCCCGTCGCACTCTCGAAGCTTCAGAAGCTAACATACAACCACAGATACACCATCCCCAAGAACTACCACGGCCTCACCCTCAAGCAAGCCGCGAAATAGTACGTCTTTCCCTCCCTCCCCCCCTCCATCCACCCATCCAACACCCACTAACACCCATCCTAGCGGTGGCCTCGCCGCCGGCTTCGGCGGTGTAGCCGGATTCTTCGCCCTCTTCTTCTTCGCCGAAGTCCCCAAGGTGCGCGACGACATCATGAAGAAGATTCCTATCCTGGACAAGTTCTTCACGGTTGAGATACCGCCTGAGGATAACCCTTTCTGAGCGCTTCCTTATTCGACGTGGATGAGGAGAAGGATGCATGGGTCGGGATGTATAATATGGAAATCGAGGGACAATTGGCATTGCAGACAGGGAAATAGACCGCTTTTGTCTTTGTTGATATTTTGCTTGGGGTGACTGTGTTTGTCATTATGTGGTGTGCTTTTGGCTTGGATGTGTTGAAGGCTTGTTATGTGCTTTATCGTATCTTTGTCCATGATCTGCTCAATTGCTAGACGTCACCACAGACTCGTTGACGCCGTATGACAATTCGCCACTCATAACTCCAAGATATTTGGTCATTGCTTCATTTTCGCGTGACTCTTACATCTATCAAGATGCTATCATATGTCATCCACCACTTTCCCCAGCCATCCTCTCATTCTCCCACCAAAGCTTAGTTCGTCGGCAGCCTTCCAACAACCTCAGCCATCTCCTCATCAGTGTAGATCCTGAAGCCCTTGTCCTTGGTCACACTAGCCAACTGCACATTCTTGCTATCCAGCTTCTCCTCCATGACCTGCTTGAGCGTCTTGAGCGTGAGCACCTCGGCCTCGGGGAGCGTGAGCGACTTGTGGAATTCGTTCTGGAGTTCGGCTTGCGCGCCCTCGGAGCCGGAGCCAATGGCTTTGGCGTCGTAGCGGTAGAATGTGCCCGAGGGTTCGGCGTGGTAGCTGTGTGTGTTGTTAGTATGTGATCCCAATTCCCAATTTCAGAGCTGCGGATGTTGTAGGAGAGCACATAGGAAGATGGGAAGAAGTGACATACAGACTCGGACCATCCTCATCATAACCCGCAATCAGCAGCGCGACACCAAACGGCCGACTCATGATGCTCTCCTCGCCCTCAGCACCCTCACCAAACCTCAGCGCCAAATCACATATCGCCTGCGTGCAGCTCTCCACGCGCAGTGGCTCGGCGTAGTTGAAAGCGTGGTTCTGGCTCTCGACACGCGCGTGCTCGATCATGCTGCGGGCATCGGCTTGCAGACCCGACATGGCACATCCGATGTGGCGGTCGATTTCGACAATCTTCTCTACGGAGCTGGTCTCGAGGAGCGTGGAGGTGACGCGCTTCTCTACGCCGAGGATTACGCCTTCGCCTGTTGCGACCTGTGGTGTTTTGTGAGTTTGTGAAGATTGGCGGTGGGAGGGGTGGACGTACGCCTATTGCTGTTGAACCGAGCTTGATGGCTTCGAGCGAGTATTCGACTTGGAAGAGACGGCCTTCGGGCGAGAAGGTGCTGTGGGTTTGTGAGCGGGCGGGCTTGTAGTGGGAGGCGCGGGGTGGACGAACTTGATACCACGGTCTGGAGGTTTAGTTAGTATAGATTCTACTGTATAATTGCTCTAGGAAGCTTACCATATTCGCTTCGTGCTATGAACTGCTCATGTTAGTACAAGAGCTCCAGCGGGGTTCATTGAGGCGTACCATGGCGGCTGTTTGTGCGGTGAAGTGATGAAGGTTTGTGGTGAGATATCCAAGTGCTTCTCGAACAGGGAAGTCGAGATTGGGGGCGTATAGGCGGCGGTGAGGTGTTGCGGAGTTGTGTTGGCGGCTTGGATGTTTCTCTAGCTAGAGAGAGCTTCAGGCAACATGAACCGCGACATCGCGCTAGGGCGGGATGCCAAGACTTGCATCTGATACTCAACTCCGCCTTCAGCATTCTCACTCTCTTAACACAACTATCAGATACATCAAAATTTACAGTTACAATGTTGCATAGGTGTCAGAAAGCTGAACCATAACAAGCGACGGTGGACCTTTGCAGTCGCATCTATCGGCTGCCCTCCATCGGTACATCGTCTGCCACCAACTTCAAGGAAATACTGGAAAAGTAGCTCACCGCTTATTGTCACCAAGCAATATTGCGTCCGAGATATCTTCACGAAAGAGATGTATCTCCGGGAGCGTTCTCATCGCATGCTGACAATCAATTCGCCACCGCGCTTTGCCAACTTTTGGTAATACCCATGGAATGCTACAATATAGTACTCAGATGCTGCTGAACTTTAGAATTGTAGTTAATGTAGTTGTGGAGCTACACCTGATAAACCACCTGTATCGCAGTTCAGTCTCACCGAAGTCATGCTGTCAACTTTAACGGAGTGATCTTGGCCGTACGCGCCTGAGGGTAAGATGATGAGTTATCTCAGTATCAGTCGTACAGTCAGGTCAAGTCACCTGGCTATGCAGGTACTCCGCGTAACGTCAACGCAGGTATCTGCTCGTGCCAGAATCATGTTGTCCGCAATTTCGGGCAGCTTCTCGTTGGGTACCGTGCGCGTGGCTAGAATCCCGATAGAACGCGGGAATATCTGCAAGCGACCTCACAGCCACGATATCCACCCGTTATCTCCCAAACTCGAAGATGTCGCAGAATGCTCCGAGTGCCTAATCGATTAACCAAGCTTCCATCGACATATCGAAGCTGTGGTAGGGGTAAAGCTTAGCGTACCGATTCGTGACATTGGCGCATGACGCCGGGACGAAACGCCTTCCAAGACACCAAACCGCTGGAGTAATTCTCCGCATCCTCTACCTTTCCAACATCAACTTCGCTTCTTTGCCCGAACTTCAAATTCTTGCATCCCGCATCCGCGGATAGAAAGCCGATGATGCGCGTCATAGCTCGGATCGAATGTGCCTGGCGTCGGCACCGTTTCTCCTGAGTTCGGACCAGCAGCGCTATCCACGTCACCATATTCTGGAATCTCGGCCTGCGACCATGATGGATGGTGCATCCGGTGCTGTCAACAACGAGCTCATAACCACGGTAGTGCGCAACGCCAACGGATGACACGGGACATGTGTCTACCATACACACGCATGAGGGTGTCGCACTCGTGTTAATGAACAAACTATTGGTCTGAACAGCCACACAGGTGTCGACAATTTTCGATAAACCCGCGTGTGCCATGTTGCACGCCCATCATGAGATGTGCAGCTCATCTCCCGCGGCGGGGATGATGTCGATGCTGTGTTATTTTTATCCGGATACGACCCTATACCGGGGCTTGACGTCGCTGTCTGGCCGTTGAGTATTGCTTCTCCACATGGGCCAATGATTAGCGAGGACGGGGCGAAAGGGTCGTTCCCTGTCTTGCCGCATCGGGCCTTCTAGAATGCTTGGTGAGCTTCAACCGTCGACGACTGCGATGAAAGCAGCAACATACGAAGGATGCAAATGTTGGGACGGTATGAACAGGCTGTTGTTGAAGAGCCTGCATGCCGAGATTGCTTGACCAGGCTTCAGGGTCGGGATCGCCGCCGGCATCCGCGTTCCTGCGTGCCTGCTCGTTCGAGAAGCCACTAATTAGCTGTGACCGTGCGGCTAATGCACGTCCGATGAATAGCCTTCAGACGGCAGCGACGTCTAGATCCAGCAAAACGTCACCGGCGAATAAAGACTTCGCTGCGTCCTGCTCACCATTCCTCGCCCACGCCGCTCTCTCGCACCCTTCTCACTTCTCAAGACTTCATTCTACGCTTTTAATATCGTCTTCTTCCTCCTAATACCACCACTATGCGCGTCTCCTCCACCATCCTCGCCGCTGCAGGCCTCTTGACCTCGGCCAACGCTGCCATCAAGGGCTTCAACTACGGCGCCAATTTCAACAACAACCAGGCCAAGGTGCAGGCAGACTTTGAATATGAATTCAACGCCGCCAAGCAGCTTCCTGGCACCAATGGGTGGACCAGCGCCCGTCTGTACACCATGATCCAGCACGGCACCCAGACCGACGTCATTGAAGCCATCCAGGCTGCTATCAACACCAAGACCGGTCTCCTCCTCGGCATGTGGGCCTCCGCCGGCCAGGCCAACTTCAACAACGAGATTACTGCTCTCAAGGCCGCCATTGCTCGTTACGGCACTGCCTTCACTGACCTCGTTGAGGGTATCTCCGTTGGCAGTGAGGATCTCTACCGTGTCACCCCCACTGGTATCGAGAACAAGTCCGGCGCCGGTGCTCAGCCCCAGGAGCTCGTCAACTACATCAAGCAGACCCGTGATGCTATCCGCGGTACTGCTCTCCAGGGCAAGCCCATCGGTCACGTCGACACCTGGACTGTCTACGTCAACGCTACCAACAACCCCGTCATTGAGGCCGTTGACTTCATCGGCATGGACGCCTACCCCTACTTCCAGACCACCATGAACAACAACGTCGGTTCGGGCAGCCAGCTCTTCTTCGACGCCTACCACCAGACTGTTGCCGCTGCCAAGGGCAAGCCCGTCTGGGTTACCGAGACCGGATGGCCCGTTAGCGGCGAGACACTCAACCAGGGTAAGCCCAGTGCGGATAATGCCCGCATCTACTGGGAGGACGTCACCTGCCAGCTCGTCAAGGACAACGTCAACCTGTGGTACTACATCCTCCAGGATGTCCAGTACGGCAACCCCGTCCCCTCGTTCGGCATCAAGCCTGCAGGTGACCTGATGCAGGTGAAGCCTCTGTTCGACCTTTCTTGCCCTGCTGGTTCCGCACCCAGCAACCCATCCAAGAAGGTCTCCACCGATGGCACCTGCGGATCTCAGGGAGGTGCTACTTGCGCTGGCTCGCCATTCGGTAACTGCTGCTCGCAGTACGGATGGTGCGGAAACACTGCCGGACACTGCGGTACCGGTTGCCAGAGCGGATCGGGCACTTGCACCAAGGTAAGCTAGTACCTTCCAATGCTCCTCTTGTCACCTATCCTGTCGTCGTTCCTGTATTCTTTGTCTGCGCTCTTGTCTGTTTCTTGCAATTGCCTTTGTTCCGTCTCTGCCCCGTACGGGGTTGCACGGACTAATGGCCATTGGAAGGAGCCTTCGAGCAGCAGCAGCAGTATTGGGATGTCAACGGGTATTGGGTCGACGAGTAAGAGGGCTGAGGAATTCTTGAACCAAACAGTCAGAAGCTAACATCCCTCAGTAAATGCTCCGACATCCCAGCCCACAATTGTCACCATTCCAGTAATTAGCTTTGATCGGCCGACTCCAACAGCTCAGAGTTCAGCACCGCTTTCCGCTTCGTCCACTGGAATTGGTCTTGAGAACATCGAAGGCCTACCGCAACCAACCTTTACCCCTCTTCAAGAACCATTCGAATACCCCCACCAGCTCATCCCCATTGACAAGGCCGACCCTACCAAGGTGATTGGCAACGGATACACGGCCCAGCTATCACCTACCATATCAACCGTGTTCGTTTACGATATTCGTCCTGCGTTCGCCGGCAAAACTTGCACTTTGGCTTTACACATGCCCCCGCCCTTCCCCATACCCGAAACAGCACCCGTTCAAATTCGCACCCCGGGTGGTATCAGCGTATCTCGCCTCGCCAACCAAGTTCCCGATACTGTTTCCATGCAGAGTGTCGGCAACTCAAGTCTCGTTGGTGTGATACAACTCATCGAGCCTGCTCATCAATACAACGTCGCTAGCTTTCCTTGCGAAGCTGGCCAACGGGTTAGTTACCAGGTGGACTCAACCAATGGTTTGGATATGAATTGGTTTCAGATGACGTATCCTGCTCTCGGGCTGTTCATGCTGGTTAGCTAGATCGGAGGACGGTAATGTGGAGTGGTGGCAATGTGGACAACTGGGATGTCGACTGTATTGTTACGAACCTAAGAGTCCTAGATCCTTCTAATGTAATGTTTGCACCAAGGACACGTATCTTGTTTATGTCGTCGTGTGATGTGCTAGTCCGACGTCTCACACTCAACGCGTTGGTTGAGCGTGAGATGCCGGAGTAGCATATCACAAGGGGATATGGGCATGAGCGGAAACGGGTGTTTTGCTGCTATATAATTATTGTGCGTATTGTCTACGTAGTCGCGTGGCTGGGTTAGAGTCGGGGGTGAGGTGGTGAGATGTGGCTGCCCGTGAGATATCACCGTGGGATGTGGCTGACCGTGAGATATAACCGTGAGATATCACGATGAGATATAACCGTGAGATGTGGCGCAGGATGAGATATGCTATGTGAGATGTGGCGTAAGGTAAGATGTGAGATGCAAGACGTAGCTAACCATGAGATATGCGATGTGAGATTTCGCTAAAGGTGCGACAAGACGTGAAACATAAGCTCTACAAAATAACCAACTGCGATCTTCTTGTATTGAACTAAAGTCGCTTATGGAAAGACTACTTAGGCTCGAGCGCGAGAGGCAGGAAAAGGATAGCTAGCTGCGAGATAAGATGCGAGATGAGATATGCGACGTAGCTGGCCGCAAGAATAGAGTGCGCCTTTGACTCAGACTGCTGTCTGGTCTTGTTTGTGCTAGTTATTAAGATTGTGTTTTGGTATACAGTATCTTTGCGGCTGCTTTGATAAAGTGGTAGCTCACCGTGAGATAAGATTTCAGATTTGAGATGTGAGATGTGGCGGATCCGTGAGATGTGGCTGACCGTGAGATGGAATATGAGATATGAGATATGAGATCTGAGATCTGCACCGTGAGATGAGGCGCACCGTGAGATGAGGCGCACCGTGAGATGTGGCGCACCGTGAGTTGAAATATGAGATCTGAGATCTGAGATGATTGTATTGTCTACTCAATGACTTGAAGCTTATAGTACTTCTTCACGGATTGAATTCACGAGAAAGTAGGCCCTCTGCTTACCTGCGCAGACGAGCGGCTTGGGCGATAGTCTTAGGCTGGGCGGCCCGGAGCCGAGCTACGACGATGAGATGTGAGATATGAGATGTGAGATATGAGATGGTGAGATATGGTCGACGGTGAGATATGGCTGAGCGTGAGATATGGCTGAGCGTGATATGAGATATGAGATATGAGATATAAGATGAGGAGATAAGCTTTGCCCGACCGCAAGGTACTTAGGCAGAGTTTGGTCTAGTAAGAGAAAAGTCCTGACGTCTTGAACCTCGCACTCGAATTACACGAGCTCAAGTTGACTATACAGAAGCTATTCACATTCGATTTAACTTGATATCTTCAAAAGCATTCCAAAGCTAGCTACGTGCGAACCGGCGTGATGTTCTAGCAAGACGTCTTACCCCCAGACACACTGCACGCAGCACCGCCCTTGCATACCTATCCATCATCATCAGCATAGTGATCGCACCGGTTACGATACAGGAAAGGAGGAGCAAAACTTACGTTCTTGCACGCATACCACGTTTTTCCATCTGCGCAGCACCCTGTCTTGGATGGGCAGTATCCCCATTGGTTGTTGGGGTCGCTGCCTTCGGCTAGTTGGGCGTGGTTTGTGGTGAAGTGTTCGTCGTGGTCGAAACATTGCTGTGGGTTGGGATGTTAGTATGGGAGATGGAGATGCTCTTGGTGAATGAAGAGAATGCGGGTTCGACTAGAACGGGGGCGTAGTCTTGGTTTGGGTTGGACGGGTGGATGATTAGGTACTTACCCATGCGGAGACGGAGGCTGTGGCCGCGAAGAGGAGGAGAATGGCGGAGATCTGCATGGTGGTTGTGTGGTAGGGATGGACGTTGAGAGTCTTGGAGATGTTCAGGTGGCGGATGGTAATGAGAAAGGAGATGCGCTGTGGACGGCGTCCTTCTTATCGACGTCCAACGAGTCAATATTAGCCATGTCTGTCTCCTACTGCTCGGTTCCAGGCCTGATGCAAATGAATAGATTGCAACCAGATCATCAGAAGACGTGCGCGAACACCAGACGACACGAGGTTGCGGCTCTTTGGACGCAAGTGTCGGGCCGGACCCCTGTTTTGAACCAACCTCCGCATGTTTGACGACGGCGTGGAAACCAAACAAGCTCATGTCTTCTCCACACTTGGCATTGCGGTGAAAGCTTTTTCCTACATTTTACGACTTCTCTTTCGCTTTCGCATGCGCATTGCTGATGTGTTCACCCTATCTTCTTGGTTTCTACCTCACCGCCGTTTCGCACGCACTGAACGTCGTTCCATCATAACCATCTTTCTGTCCACGCAATATAAATTGTCGGAGCTACAACCAATGACAGCTCAATGACAACTCGACAGATCGCTGCAAGCGAGGTAGTCTAGTCTGCACACAGTAGGTACGGCGTAATGCGCGGTTCAGCTCGTCGCGTGGTTCGGCGTTATGCGTGGTGCCGGCGCAATGCACGGAGCACTAATTTCACGACGTGTGTATCTGCACGAGGTGGGATTCCACCAGTTGGAATGTCTTGAAGCAAAAATGCAGAGAAGTCGTGGTTGTGTCGTTACCGAAAAGCTTGCATCGCCTCATACGAGGCAGAAAGCGGGCAGGATAAGAGGTGCGGTGCAGTACACAAAGGCCGATGTAAAACCCAAAGCTGAGAAATGTTCCAAGGCAATGTAGATTTCCAGGTGCGGCTTTCCCGACAGTACCCTTCCCATTTCCTGCTGATGCCATTCCCCCTCTTCAGCTAACACCGCCCTCTAGAACTCCGGCACTACGCTCTTCGATATTGTCAGCCTGATATCTCAACAAGATGTCTCTCGCCTTTTTGGGGGTCGAGTCAAAGACAAAACGCTCTTTAGTTACAGCTTCGGTGGCATACTGCAGAGCGGTGCGACCATATATGTCTTCGTCAGCTGGCCGGATACCGGTAACGTTAACAAGGAAGTCGAATGACTGTTCAGTAAGACTGCCCTTCATAGCCCCATAGTGTAGTACTGTCCTTCCGTTCCAGTCCTTTCTTGCCAGGTCGACACCGTGCTCATGCAGGATTTGCAGTATAAACAACCCAAGCCCGCAAGTCCTAGCGCACAGGTGCCCAAGGGTCTGCCCATCTTGACTGACGGATGACGCGTTGCCTTTGATCTTGAGGAGTGTCTTGAAGATCTGTATGCAGAACCCAGGCGTACTTTCGATGTATCTCGCTAGTGGTGACATGCCAGAATTATCAGGCTCGGAGCCACTGGCTCCTTGTTCGAGTAGCCACTCTACCGTCTGGACTTGTACAGCCGGCGTTTTTTGTCTCGTCCACAATATGTGATGGAGTGCATTCTGCCCCATCCTGTCTTTTGATGTCGCCAATGTGACTGCTCTAGCCTGTTCACTCTCGAGAACAGCCATTATGATCTTGTCGCTCCTGGTTTGAGCAGCGTAGTGGAGTGCGTTGAGGCCGTCTTCGCCAGTCCATGACACACTCGCACCCACGTCGAGTAAGGCTTTGACTGCTTCGTAATCGCCAGCTTGGATGGCGAGATTTAATGGGCCTTTCTGGCTTAGATTGGCGGACGATGGGTCTGCTCCTTTCGATACCAGTCTTTGGACGAGGGTCGCGCTTCCCGGTTTGCCATAGCGAATGCAGTGTAGAGGACCTTCACCTTTGTCGTCAACTGCGGTGACGGAAACCCTATGGTCCGCCAGTAGTGCATCTAGTACTTCCTCGGTCGCAGGATTCATCCAAGGATAGACTGTATCCCAAGCATCTTTACACTCTTTCCCGAGTATCGTCCTACGCAGTGCAAGATGTAGAGGGGTCTCACCGTGCTCAGAAAGAGCATTGGGGTCGGCGCCATGCTTAAGCAGGAAACTCGTCATTATGGAACTTCCTATCAAAGCAGCGAAATGCAGGGGGGTGAGGCCGATTGCGACGGATGGCGGAACTGCAGATGCAGCATCTAGTCGAGCGCTTCCTGTTTGGCCAACTCTGCTGCCAAGTGAATACCGACGGACTCTGGAATCAATCTGTACACCTGCGTTCAAAAGTTGCAACGCAATGACCTCGAGCTCCCACTTTACAGAATAAAGTAGCGGAGTCATGTTGTCGCTGTCGATAGTGTCTAACGGAGCGCCGTAGTGCCTCAACAGCTCGACAATTGACGGCTTACAGCTTGGGTCGTTGATAACATGGTGCAGGGCGCCTTTGAAATCCTTGTCCGGACCAACATTGGCACCTCCTTCTACCAACAGCATAATTGTCGTTTTTCGGCCTCGATGATAACGAAACGCGGTTAGTAGCGCGTCATCCAACACCTTGCCCTGGACGTTGATCCTGGCGCCCTCGACAAGCAGCACCTTGACCACTGCGTCCTGGGCCCCCCGCGAAGCTCTTTCTAGGGCATTCTGTTCTGTGTTGTGTGGGTTGACTTTGGCGCCCTCCTTGATCAGCAACCTGACTACTGCCACATTGCCTTGTCCTGAAGCTTGCTCGAGTGGATCACCTTCGAACCCGGCGCTTGGAGGGTTCACATCCGCGCCCGCTTCTATCAACATTCTGACCATTGCCGTACTGCCCATTCCTGCAGCTGCTTCGAGTGCGTTACCATGAAATCTGTTGCCTGAAGCGTTCACATCCGCGCCCGCCCGTATCAACAGTCTGACTGCTGCGTGGCAACCGTGGAATGAGGCCATCTGTATTGCACTGCGGCCATCTTTATCCCAAGAGTTGACGTCGGCCTTTGCTTTCACAAGTAATTCAACCACTGCGAAGTGTCCTTCAGCAAGATCTGTATAGAACTCCTTTTTCGCTAGACATGCACGGCGGTGTCCTTCAGCTAGAGCTGCATGTAGCGCGTTGCCCCATTTTCCACCTCGAGCGTTGACATCGACGCCCTGGTCCAGGAGCAGCTTTGTGAGAGTTTCCGAACCCAAAAGTGCTGCGTAGTAAAGGGGTGGCGCTACCTCCTTACCTCTGCCCTTTATTTCAGATTCGAGAGAATGATAGTCGTCGTCGTAACGTATAACCCAGTTCTCATATGCGGGATTCCCAGCCGACAGTAAACTCGTCACTAGTCTGATCACTTCTTCCTTCTCGTCTCCTATTTGTTGAAAGTGTTGACTCCAGTACTTCGTTGCGTACTGTGCGAGCGCTGGAGCCTCAATGTGTGCCCATTTTGTCGGCCGCCGAAGCTGATTTAGGTACTGCAAACAGCCTCTTGTGATTACTTCGTGACATGCGGTCTCGCTCATGCTGTACTGATTTGCTGGCCCTTGTTTGATTCTCTCCGAAACAAGGTACTCTTGAACTGAGTAGTGTGCTAACTTAACAGTACGGTCGTAGTGCACCGGTGACGTGTTATCCTTTCTCTGCATCACCACTGTGACTAAGCTGGAGCAAATTTCCAAGACTTCTGACGGATCTGCGAGCACTTCATCGCGGTCGAAGGCTGGAGTACGCCCAACATCGATAGCGATAATTTCGGCCAGTTCTTCAACAGTAAGGGGCCTCAGAGAAAAGGTTAGCCACTGTAGCATGCGCACCGCGTAAACGCAGTCCTCTTCTCCTATAGCGGTGAGGATTTGGTCGTAGGTTTGATCGAGCGTCGGCGGTAATGTAGCAAGCGACTTGCGTAGCATTGCGAGATTGCGACACTTCGCCACTGTGTCAAGCTGACATACAGCCCATCGAAACCCACAAAGTCGTTAGTTTTGACTTCAGAGGGAAGCAAGTGTAAGCACCTACATCCCATGAGCACCACGCATCAGTGTTGTCTCAATCTCTTGTATAATACTCGCGTCCTTCTCCAATGGGCCGCTCTTCCATTTTGCCAGCCTCTTATCTTCACGTAGTCTTTGTCGAATGTATCGTAGTATATCTTTGTCCACTACATCCTTCTGGAGACAGACAATCTGCTTTTCACCAACGTAAGTCTTCACTGACGTCTCGATATCGTGCTCTTTCCGGCTGATCATAAGTAGATGTACCATGTCAAGCTGCCATCCATGCAATATCTCAAGTATCCCCATCAGTTCTGGACGCTGTGTACACTCATCCAGAGCATCGAGAACGATGTATACATGTGAGAACAGTGCCATCACCTGAGGTGCTATCTCTAGAAGTGCATGCAGTGATGGCGGCTGTTCTCCGTTCCCAGAGGCCGAAAACGACGCGTTGATGGCTTCGGGTATGATCCTTGTGCGCTGTAAGAGTTGGTAGAGCAGCGAGCGCAGCATGAGCCCTGGATCACGTTTCTGTACGTCGTTGAAGTCAAAAAAGAAATAGACTGTCACATTGTGGCTCTCTTCATCGCAGTGCTGCAGCAAGTGCTCGATGATGGTAGAACCAAGGACGGTCTTACCGCACCCTGGGATCCCGTAGAGCCACAGTCGAGACGCTGGAGCGTTCTTCCACTCTTTGAAGCTTTCGCTTTGCAGCAACCATTGCCCGGTCTCCGCTTGTCGCTGCTTTTGCGCTCTGTGATAGTTCGTCGAGGGGTCAGGCGCTGAAAGCCACCTGCAAATCTTGGTAAGCCTCTCCCCTTCCTGTATCTCTTTCTTCAGTCGCTTCAATGCGTTCTCTCTTCCCTCACCATAGATAAGTGGGAGATAGCAGTCGAAAATTCCCAACAGACAGTAGGCTGCATCTTCCTCTCGAGTCGTCTGTCGATCCTGTGCCCAGGATAACCGCTCATCCACGCTAAGTCTAGATAGTTGGATCCCTAACAGAGCCTGGATGGGTATCTTTGTAACTTCATGTATGGTCTGCCCAAGGGACGCTTTGTCACCTAGTAGCACTCCATCTTTGGAGAAAAACTCAACAGCGCGCGGAGCTAGAAGTTCCTGGAGTGTCCAACCTCGGCTGAACCATCTGCTCTCTCTAAATGCTTGTTTCCATGATGAGGAATGACTGGCGTAGCTATCCGAAGACTTCCCTTCGACGTCTGAGAGGAACACGTAGCATTTGTTCGCGTTTTGGTACCAGCGAAACATAGAGTTAATCGCCTCGGAAAGCTCCGTATTGTTTGCCTTGTCGATGCAGCAAGTGTCCACCCAAAAGTATTCCAGACCATCAAGCTTTGTCTGTTGGGCACAGAAGAGGATTTTCTCCCAACCGGCTTTTTTTGTTGCGCCAACATCATCTTCACAATCGAAGCTCTTTAGATCTTCGATCGTTACCTCTTGCTCCCCCCAGGTGTGCGAAAGGATCGCATAGGGAGGGATATCCTTCTTATCGATAATGTCGTTCGTGAACTCGAGCTTCCCATCGCTTTTGATGTGTAGTAGTCGCATCGCGCTGTGGCGTGTCTGTATGCGCGAGCGGCAGAGTGAAATTTTGAAGCCTTAAAGCAGGTTAAGTGAACCGACAGCGCAGAGCGGCTCGCTTGCAAGGAGAACAAAGATCGTAGGTCGGTTCTTGCGAGTGCTAGAAAAACGTCATCAAGTTATGTGAGAAGAAAACGATCTGCCAGTGCCGACAACAGCCTTTTCAGTAAAGACAAGGGGGTATTGGCCCCAAGGAGCTGATAGTCGGGCAGACTGCATCTTCAGTGGCACAGCTCACCTGCAGCGTGACGTCCACCGAGGAAGGCGGGGCAAGGCTGAGGTGTGATCATCGTGTGACAGCGGCATACTGCAGAACAAGAAGCTTGAGAGCGCGCTCTGGTGCGAACAGTGCGATGCGCAGGCTGCTGGTTACTGGAGGGGTATTGGCGCGTTCGTGCTGGAGGCCCTCTGAGACGCGCGGGCACCAGGGGACTTGCCAAGGCTCGTCACGTGCCAGTGCTGTCAGTGCCTGTGCCTCTACGATCCTACCTAGGTACTCCGCTGCAGGCTCAAAATCCCACGAAGCCCCAAGGACGGTGAACATAAGGAATCTCGGGTGAAATCGACATACTACGATGCCAACACGTCTCAACCTTAATCTATTGGAGAACCAGGTGGTAAGGTCGATAAGATAATGCAATATAGGCCATTGATTTAGCATTGATAGCGGTGATCAGCCGCAGAATCCGCTTCAAATGCATGCAACATGAAAACATTGAACATGATGAAATTGGATAATGTCAATAAAAACGACTATGCTCTAGCCCTTACGCTCTCAAAACACCCAAACGCCCAAAATCGCCCAATCGAAAACTTATGATATACGTACAGTACGATATCCTTCAAACAGCAACAAGCAATACTCTCTGGTATCCTATCCTACCAATGCCTACGCACCACCAGCCCTCCCCGTCGTAGTAGCACTACTAGGCTGATCATTGTTCCAAGTCAAATACGTATGATCCCCCAACTTGCGCGGCTTGATGAGATGCGTAGCCAAGAAGACCGCTCCTAACAGAATGCAGATACCGCCGACAACGAGGTATGCGATGCCGAGGAAAGGGTTCTTGCCGCCCATGACGGTGCGCGTGGAGATGAGGATGGATTTTGTGCCGCTGTATTTGTCGACGGGGTAGCCTGGGGGTGGGTTAGTGAGATGTGTGGGAGATGGGAAGGGGGAAAGGGATGGAGGGGAGGGGGAAAGGGAAGAGAGATGGGGAGAACGTACGGTCATAGATCTTAAGACGGTAGGTACCAGCAGTCAAAACATCCTTGTCGTTACGCTGATACAATTTACTGAACGTAGGCAGACCCGCAGTCCTCATCCAAACCTGGAATTGCTCCCAGGTATGCAGGTTAGGCAGCTTATCGCCGTAACGCCCATTCTCGTATTGTTCCTGCCAGTTGGGCGGTGGCACAACATCCTCTGGCTTGTACTTTGTCTCGCCGTACAGATCACCCTCATGGCTCCATGAAGTTCCCTCCACAGTCATAGTGTAGTTCTGGCCACCGGCATTTGTGCCACCCGCGGGGTTGGCAAGCGTCAACTGGCTGAATGTGTCATTGAACATGGAGTTCGCGATCAGACCGCAGGGGTAGTACGGCTTGCCTGTCTCGGAGTCTACGTCCAGCGGCGAGCAGTCGCCCGAGCTGAGATCGCTGGCACTGCGTGCATCACCCTTGAGTTGTTGGATATCGACGGACTTGACGTAGCGGCGGTGGTTCTGGTAGAAGTTCGTGAGGCGGTAGTAGAAGAGGATCGGCGGCTTGATATCTTCCGGTATGTTGAAGCTGAGGATGCACACGTTTGTCTCTTGCACGACGCCGGATTCAAAGGTGTAGTTCTCGCGTCCCCAACCCCACATCGCCTGCGGGTCTTCCTTGGATCTAAAGGTCGCGGACACTCTGCCGCCGGGAATTGGGTCGAGCGGGTTCTCGGCGTTGGGGTCGAAGTTTACGGGGACTTCGGGCGCGGTGCTGTTGCAGTTTGTGTAGTCGATTGAGATCTCCTGGACCTGCGCGCTAGCATAGAGAAGCAGCCCGCCGATGGGGGCAAAGATAACTCCGACGATGAAGAAGAGAGGCAGAACGGTCTTCGGCGTTAAGATGGGCCTGATGCGCGGTTAGTCGTGGGTATTGCCATCTCCCGCCATGATTCCACCTACTGCCATGCCTTCAAGCGCTGCTGCCTGAACGCAGTATCTAGTATCCCATCAGCATTGCCCTCCTTCGCGCATGTCGATATCAGGCTTACTCGGCGGCCTCCTGCTCTTGGTCTTCTTCGGCTCGTCGCGGCTGGGGTCCTGGCTGCTGATGGAGTCGGTATGCTCGACCTGCTGTGTGCGCGACATGATGGGCGGTTCCGCGCGACTCGGCGGAGTCGATTGGTGGAGTGAAAGGTAGTCGTCGCGGGCGGGAGGAGTGGTGGGAGCGCGCGGGTTTGAGGTCGGCCAAGCCGTTGTCCCAAATTAGTGACAGAGCAGCCGCGCCACGCCTGCACGCCTGTGGAGCTTACGCATCCCCGCCCGAGACCCTGAGCCTTTCACGGACGTATCACGGAATCGTCATTGCAGCAGCATCGCAGTACGCCATCAATTCATCAACGCCTAATTAAGTGGTCACGTAAAGACAACGTGGAGAACATTCAACTCATGTGAGATAGTGCATTCTGGTCTAGTACTAAATATGATAGAAAGCCTGCATTTGCGGCGACAATGTCCACATGGGACTACAACATTCGTTGGTGGGAGCTGAGGGGTATCGCATGCCGTTAGATAAAAGAAAAGGAAAGTCGAGAAGCCCAAAAACGCCATGAGGGAGGACAGTATCCACTCCCGAACACCTGTTCATGCCAACAATAGTATCCATAAAACCCATCGAAACGCCGTTCGTAATATCATGCGGAGGAGGACATCCATCACTCCTTGTAAGTCATACCAGTCTTATCCAAAAGAAAGCGAGCCCAGTCGGGTGGGCCGCGAGATGCAAAGTGCAACTTGATGCATCGTAACCAAGAAGAGGAAAAAGAATGAGAAAGGCTATGCGATGCAGGCTCAGAGGTACTGGCGGAAGTAGTCGGGGTTGAACCAGCCTACACGGTCATATGACTGCCACAGTTTGCTAGCCTTGTTGACGTCAATCTTGCACGCCTGCTGGGCATCTGTCTTGCGGAACTCTTTGCCGATCTTGAGAGCCTCGATGCGGGCCTGGAAGATGCGTCGCTTGCTGGTGAGGTAGGTGGCGCAGTTGAGGCGGAGTGTGCCAGCGAGGTTCAACTCAGCCTCGTGCAGCAGCTCGCGATCGGGATCGTCGGCGAGCGAGAGCGCTTGCCCTTTCCACTCAGCCTTGAGCGCCTTGGTGTTGCCCTTGGGCAGTGTGTCGAGGGGTGGGGCGTAGTCGGGAATGGCAGTGTAGTCAGAGTCGTCGCGGTTGGTGACTGGTCGTGCCGGCTTGGGAGAGGCTGACTTGGTGGTGGGGGAGGTGTCGAATGAGTCGTGGATCTGAGTAAGAGGCGTGCGCTTAGCCTTGGGTGCAGCACGAGGGGCGCGAGCAGGCAGCCGTGGAACAGCGACCTTGGGCTGGCGGAGTTTTGAAGATGGCGCAGGGGCGAGCTTCTTCAAGGCTGGTCGCTTCTGCACACGGCCGCTGCGGACCTCGTCGATTTGCTTGTCGAAGGCGCGTTCTTGGGCCCACCATGCCTTGGGGTTGTTGCAGGCCTCTCTGAAGACAATGGAGCGGACTTTGGCAACCAATTCGTAGTCAGCGCGGCTCGGCTTGCTCTGCAGTTGTGCATAGTCGTGGGACTTCATGTGCGCGGTGATGACATCTTGCGAGGCTGACTCGGGTGACTCGTCGGGGAACAGCGGCATGTGAGCAATTGGTGCCGCTGCATCAGCCGAGACGAACAGCTGGGGATCGCGTGTGCACTGCTCCTCTGAGCTCTCCATGTTCTCCTTCTGTGCCTGTGTGTCGTATGGGGAGATTGGCGGGGAGGCGTAGGCGATGCGGTGGGCGGCTGCTGCCTGGATCGCCATGAAGTCGGTCTTCACAGCAGACTGCGAGGGTGCTGAATTGAAGGAGGAGAAGGGTGATTGAGAGTAGGCAGGCGGAATTGACGTGCCAAACGACTCTGATCGCTTCATTTCAGGGGGCGAGAGGAGGGAGGAAACGGTGAGCCGATTGCTCGGGGGCGTCTTATAGTGCAAGTTTGCCATTGCGGTGTGGTGCGAAAGTTTGTCCTTTGGTTAAAGCGCAACGTCGGGGCGGTAGCGATATATGAATGTGTCCAGGCAGCCACTGGAGCGTGGTGCGTTGGTAATGCGATCAATGGTAGAGTATGAGTGGAGGGTAGGAGCCTTGGTTGAGCGAACGGCTTCGCCACAGTTATGCTGTCAGGTGTGCCCGGGCGCAAACGTGACCGTGGAAGCCGGCAGAATGGTCCGACCGACTGCTTATACCAGTTATGCGAGCGGGCAATTAGTCAGGCAGTCGTGACAATTGAAAAAGCAGTGCGGAGTTAGGACGATTGAATTGCGTGGTAGGTTAGTCGTCCCGAAACAGACGGGGTGAGCGGGCTGGTTATAAGAAGCACCACCCAGGCGCGTCGGGGGTTTCAGTAGGCTACAGGATGGACAAGGCCAGTGTGACTGTCCTTTGAGACACTGCGGCCCATGTGCTAGCGAACCAGACAAAGAGGGTGTGCGGTTGGCGCGTGCCAGCAGGCTCTCATCCTCCCAGGCCAGGCATCATCCATAAGAGGAGCGCCCGTTGCGCGCGGCCGGCAGCTGACGAATGCGGGCGGCCAAGAAGTGAATAGAAGGAAGACGAAGGGGGCTCCAATGAGAGCGGCCAATTGCGCAGCGACGCGTGAGGCGGAGCTGGGAGCGCGCAATGCTCTCTGACTGTCTGAGAGATTGAGTCACTGCACAGGCGATTACCTGTCGCTCCGTCCCAGCAAACCGGGCTAGTCCATCGGGGCCGAATGAACCGTCCCCATCGTCACATCATCACTGCGCTCCAGGGCTACATACACGTTGCCTGCCCTCATTGCGCCCTGGATGCAGCGACTGAGGCCTGGTAATGTGTCATTGGCACCCAATTCCAGTAAATTCCCAGTCCTCCAGCCAGCGTGTCACCGCAGCGCCCAATCCCCATTCCCTCTACAGATCGCTTCCGGTGGACAGTGTCCGAGTCACCGCTTCCGTCATCGTTCCTCGTACTACGCTATTGTGCAGTCTGACCGCCGTCGATAATGCAGAGATGACTATCCCACATGCTCCACATTCCAGCAATTGACCCATCATCGGCACCAATCGACTATGCTTGACCCTGCGCTTGACCTGCTTGACCTGCTTAACCTGCCAGAGCCCAATTCACTTCAACTGCCTTTCGCGGCCAGTGGCGGCCGAATTGAGTGCTCATCTGCATGGATCTAACCCCCCCTCCGTCAGCGGCGGCTACCGAAGACAGGCTGCTCACCGAGTTCTGTGGAATGGCGGTTCCCGTTCATGGTCTTGTGACATGGACACCATCAAGCGGCTGTAGTCGACGCCACTGGCGTGGAGCTGCAAAGGACCAGCGCCGACTAGAAGGTTCACTCAGGGCAGCTCATGTCTCGCAGCGGGTAACATGCGATGTGTGCGTCGTTAGCCCACTGCGGTACGTTCCCGCCATGTTATCGATTACCACTCGTCTTAGCATGTGAAAGTGAGCCCCGTGCTCAGCTGGTCAAATAACTAGGTCATCTACACCATGACGCCTGTCCACCTGAACACCTCCCACGCTCTCCGCACACCGTCGCTCACGGGGCAATGAGGCTTCACACCATCTTCTGTTTGGTCGAGGTCATCCTTCGGAAACCCGGGGTGTCTTATCGTCGTTATCGTGCTGTGGGGGAGGGGTATGCCAGAAACCCCTCAACCCTCATCTCTCGACGGCGCTGTTACCGCCAGGCTTGCCATCTGACCTCAGCCGCCTGATACCGTCTCTTGCCTTGAATGCCAGCCATGTCAATCTCCCAGGATATCGCTTCCGCTGTACCCCTCACCATTTGCGCCGACGAGCGCGGCCCAGACCGATGCCGAGTAGGTTCCGCGGACAAAGCAAATGTGATCCTGACTCGATAGACTTTGAACTTCTCGATCATGGCGCGCTTTGCATAGCCTTGAATCGCGACACCAGACACCACAGACTGTCGCAGTCCGTCTAGAAGCCTGGCCGCGCCTTCTGCGGGTAGATCTGCGCATCAAGGTGCCAGCCCGAATCTGGTCAGCCGATAGGACAATGCGAGCAGATGACTTGCTGCCCCGTCTTGCGAGTTCCCACTACGCCCAGCACCATGGGGGACCCTGCATCTGCAATGCTGGTAAACCTGCCACCCATTCAACGACAACAATGGCGAGCTGCAGGACCTTGTTTCATGGCTTTGGCCAAAAGAGAAGGCTGCGCCGTCCTTTCATTACCACGTTGCGAAATGGCGTCATGGGTGCTTGCTGCCAGGTCCGCCCTGCATCAAAACAAATGCGAGGCTGCCGGAAATAGACTGTCTCGCCGACTGTCAGCTGCAGGCACATTAAACTTGGAGTTGAATTGGCCAACAATCTCGCAGTTGGCGTAAGCAGGGCTGAGGGCAGGTAGAGCAGTAATGACGCAAACTGTATTTGCTTCACCGCTCCAACACGTATCGATGAGATCGAGATGTCGCATTCAATTGCTAGGAATAGTCGAATCACGTTACATGTTATGGCATTGACGGTTTCACGTGCCTTCGTGGACCTCGCCCCGCGCTTTCCCGCGCTCCCGTCGCGACTGCCTCAGCCTTGACTCAATCCACCAATCCATCGAAATTCCCCACATACGTCATCTCCAATTCGACACAACGCCATGCACTCATACCATTGCACGTTACCATGGCCTCGCCAGTATCGCCATTGCCTTCTAGCCGCCATTTCGTAACGCAACTACTCGATTCGCTGGCCGCTCCGCCGTTAATTGACCAAGCTACTGTCAACGCAAATGCTAATGCCAACACCAATCCGCTGAACAATGTATCCGACGCGACGAGGAAACAGCTACTTTCGCTGCAAGTCCTCTTCCCGAATGAATTCGTACCAGCGTTGGACCTGCTCGATCGACGGCTAGTGACGCGGTTTCGGATATGCGATGGAGAGGAACTTGCTGCGCGGGCGGCAGGTGCGGATCAAAGAGATGCAGCGATCGGGCAAGATGTACAGATGCAAGACACAGAGGCAACATCGCCATCACAACACGAAGATACGCCAACAGAGAAATCAGTCACCCACGCACATGATGAAAACACCAATGACTCTACAGCTCCAGACAAACCATCAAACCAAACCACCACGACTCCCGCACCAGAAACCTACAACCCCAACACAATACACTACGTCCGCTCCGCCCAACACCGCCCCTCCCGCTTCTCCACCTCCTACGACACGCTAGCAACATACCAAGTCCGCCTTCTGGGCTGGAATTGCTCCTGTCCTGCGTTTGCGTTCGCTGCTTTTCCTGCTGGTCAAGCTACGCCTCTTGTGCCTCTTAGCACCTCAGCCTATCCAGTTGAATCAAATCAACTATACGACTCAGCACAACAGACTGAGAAAAGAACGGGGAATAAGTCAATGGAGTGGATATTCGGTGGCATAAGTCTGGGAGACGGTATGCCGCCTGTGTGTAAACACCTACTAGCATGCGTGTTGGCGGAGAGGTGTAAGGGGTTGTTTGGGGGATTTGTGGAGGAGAGGGATGTTAGTGTTGAGGAAGCGGCGGGGTGGGCTGCTGGGTGGGGGGATTGAAGTTGTTCCTGCAACGACTGGAGTTTGGCGGGCTGATGCTCTGGGGTCCTGGTCCTAGATACATACATGACTATTGTAGGAAGCAGAAGAGGCTCGAGACGCTGTTTACGATCCCCAATGCCGCTGCAGCACGGCTTGTATAGAGAAGAAGATAGCACCACAATGGTCTCAGCCAACTTCATGTCATGTTCTTTCATCATATCACATCTATCAGCCATTATCCATAACATGTCTTTTCACATGCCCAGGTCGCTTAGCCCCAAAGCCATTTCCGACCCTACTGTCTTCTCATCGGCTCCGAGATAGTATAATACACATGTCTTCGCCCCTCACCCCTCATGCGCTTCTCAATTCCGCGCTTATTTCTTCTTCGTCTCCTCCTTACCCTTCTCTTTACCCTTCTCCCCCTCCTTGACTTCACCGTTCTTCTCTCCCTCCTTCTTCTCCTTGTCGCCCTCCTTACCCTCATCTTTCTTCGCCTCCTTGTCTTCCGCTTGCTGCTTGTTTTGTATCTTGTTCTCGATCAAGTCGTGGAAGGCGGTGATCGCACGGATCAAACTGGACAGGTAGATAGCCATGAGCTGGTCGTTTGTCTTGACGCTCATAGCACGTGCCAATTCGCCGTTATCAACCGCGCCTGCCTGGCCCGCGGAGGAACCAACACCGTTTGTTGCGCCGCCGACGGGTGCGGCCTTGGGTGTGGAGAGGTTGGGCAGCAGGTTGAAGACGTCTTGCAGGTTACCGAGGATGGCGTGGTTGACGGGCAGGTCTTCGTCGAGGACCTTTTGTAGGTATTGGCCTATGTCTCGTAACCGTAGGTGCAGGCCTTGGAGCGATTGCAGTTGTGAGGTTATGCGTGTGGAGAGGGTACCGACGGCGACGTCGCGGATGTCGCGGAGGAGGTGCTCGACTCCGATTTCCTCGGCCTCTTCGGCTTCGATTATTGAGGGGGTGTGGACGAAGGTCTTGGATGTGGTTGTGCCGTCCTGGGTATGTTAGCATTGAGTTCGTGGCATAAGAGACTGGCGAGCATTTCGTTGGTGTCGCCGCCACCGAGCCTGCTATGCACTTACATCCTTGATCTCCTCCACCGCAAAGTAGGCGTCTGTGGGTACGCCCACCTCCTTCGGCTGTACATCAATAATAACGAGTAGCGGGTTCGGTGTGTATCGCTTGAACAGCTCGTTGACCTCCAGATCCGACGCCCTCAGCTTAGGCCCTGTGTGATACCAGCCGATGAGCTTCTCCCGCGCGTTGACCTTCTTGAACATGTCGTTCATCGACTCGACGTAGTTGTGGTCTAGGAACCATACTGAAGGGTCCTTCTCGTCTTCCTCGAATGGCACTGCAGGTCTGTCAGCTGGCGGAACGTCGCTTGTCCTATTCACCGTCCAGGCGGCAAACGAGACTATGGAGGGGCTACACACCCGCGAAGCTGTTGGATACCCGCACGTTCTTGCCGTCGTTCTGTCCGAGGAGCACACCGACTACTCTCCTCTTGGTTCCCTTTGCTTGGCGGCCGTAGTGGTCGGCTGCGGAGAGGAGGACGAGCGGCGCGACGGAGACGTTGCGGGTCACGAGCGACAGCGTCTCAGCTGTGGTGGCGGGCATCTTGGGGATGTGGACTCAGTATCGCCGGGGAAGGTATTGGGCGGTTGGCAGCGATACGGGTGGGGATTGTGGGGGAGGGCGGTGATGGTGGTTGTTGTTGATGCGGCTCTGCGGTGTCCATCGAAGCTTTCGGAACTGGACATGGTGAGGGTGGGTCAGAGCTCGCGCGCTAGTACTTCCAGCAGTGCGTCAGTGAGCGACATGGGAATTGCGATAGTTCAGCACGACTAAACACGGTAGATAAATACGTCAATTAGAATCAACGGACTATAACAATGGCAAATGTCTGGTATCTGAAGAAAGGATAATGTACAAAAAGCCGAAGGCGAAGACGCGAAACCACCCAAGATCAGTCCAGCGATCAGATCATGCAAAAGCGAAGGCCAAACATTATCGCATTATTCCAGGAGTGCGTGACGAAGAAACAATCATAGCGTAGCGGTGGGGAAGTAGTACTGGTCCCAAAGGAACTCGTAGTCTTCGATGACACCGCCGACCATGTCGAGAAGAGGCTTGCCCTTCAGCGATCCGGTGATACTGTGAATCCAGGCCCTGTTCAATGTTAGTTATGGCTGTATGAACGTCAATGTGACAAGACTTACTTGGTAATGTTCTCGTAGAAAGCGCCGCGCATGGCCCACCATCCCAGGGACCAGCCCCGCTTGCGCAGCTCTTCCTTCTCCAGTCCTGTCAAGCCGCGAAGGCCTCCAGCGAGTCGCTCTTGGAAGTCCTTCTTGGCCAGTTGTCTTGCACCATACTCCATACTGACACCAATCAACCACGGCCTCCAGCTCTTCCTGTCGCCACTGAAATGTTGCATAGCCAGCGCGTAGACTACCGGTCGGAGAATATACAGTGCTTCGGCCAGCTCGCCCTTTCCGCTGACGCGGTGGAGCAGCGCCTTCGGGGGCTTGATATCGTCCGCAGTCAACACCTTGGAGAGGAGGTAGCTTGAGATGTCCGAAGAGTCCGGTAGGCTCGGCATGGACAGGCCAGTCCTAGGCATTGCCCAGTTCTCTGCCTCGACTGAGCGCTCACTCGGCGGTGTGTCCATGCCATCGGCCGATGCCGACGACTCTTCCAGCGAGCTTGGATCAATCTCTCGTTGTGGGAGCGGCGGTGACAGGAGTGGTCTCGAGTTGGTCAATCGAAGCAGCAGCAACCGACATACTGCCTTGACAATCTCCAGCAACACGACCACGCGCCATCGCACCTTCTCGCCCTTCCGCTTCGCTGCCATCTCCCATAGCAGTTCTGTGTACTGGATCATCTGGAGCACTAGCGCGATGCGCTTGTATGTGGGCGAGTTCTGCGTCCAGAACTTGGTGTATCGATGATGCGGGGTGAGGGGCTGCCGCCGCGTTCCGGGCATTTGTGCCATGGCTTTTGAGAGGAGAGAGTCATGATAGAGGGAGAGTACTTGGACGCCGCTGTGTACTGGGTGGTGTTAGTCGGGACGAATGCGCGATAGCCGGACGCGACCTACTTGACTCGGATGCGACTTCAGATTCCCGGAAGCGGCCTGTTCGTGATTAGCGAGATGCGCAAATACAGATACTGAGCTGACTAACCAGGTATAATGTATGTCAGTGACCGCAGTGCGGATTCAATCTGGGTAACGGCGCTGCTGTTCTTGGTGATGAAGTCGGAGTACATGCCCAGCCACTGCGACGGCATGGACAGCACCTCGCCCGTTTTCTGCGTCGCCTGCCTGTACATGTCTGCAGTCGCCCCAGCTGACGCGCCGAGATGATGCGATTGCGCGACGTGGATGTGGTCGTGTCCGAGTGCACGTGTGTGTAGATAGGAGCGATGGGCGAGGGTGAGATCATGGCTCCATTATCGCGTGCGCTACCGACTGGCCAAGTACCGAGGCTGCTGCGGCTCAGCTACCCCGGATGTGCGTCTCCACCTGCAGACATGAGTGAACTCCTATTTGTCCCTTTTCGTTCAAACTGACAGTACGTCACTTTGGTCGCATCTCGAGTAAACCAGAGAGGTGGTTGATGTGTTCGGAGTGTCTAAGGAGGTGTCGGCGACGCTCGTCTCCAGGAGTACAGTCGCTAAACATGTGACTCCGCGTAGGCAGAAAAACGCGTTACGCGTCCCTCCGCTCTTCAAAGTACCCAAACACTCGTCGTTCAAGCATTGCAAAGCTGTGTTCTTTGAACCATCTTGGAATCTGGAGTACCCAGGTGCTCTTACGGCAGTCCCCTCCTAGTTTACCCGTACGAACACCGTGGTAGATTGGTATCAGTTATACAAAGCTCCCACTACCCACCCTCTTCTCTCTCACCATGGCTTCCCAGGCCGCAAAGTCCATTCCAGTGCCTCAAGTCCCAATACACGAAGAGTACAAACCCCTCTTCGCTTCCATCAACGCCTTCGTCCACAACTACATGTCAAAATACGACAACTCGCACGACTACAACCACATTCTCCGCGTCGTCTCAAACGCAAACCGCATTCTTCAAGCCGAGCTCGTTCGCGACCCCTCCGTCAGCTACGACACCACAGCCCTCTTCCTAGCCGCCCTCCTACACGACGTAGGCGACCATAAATACGTCAGACCAGGCCAAAAAGCCGAGAGGCAAATTTTGGATATCTTGAAGGACCATGGTTCAAACTACGAACTGGCTGTGGTGGTAGACAATATCGTTAATCACGTCTCCTATTCACACGAGATACGCGAGCCTGTTATCACCGCGGGAGTTTTAGCAGCGTATCCTGAATTGGCAATTGTACAGGATGCGGATCGTCTTGATGCTATCGGTGCGGTGGGTATCGGGCGCTGTTTTTCCTATGGAGCGGCTAAGATGCCGGGGGAGCCTATGGATAGGGCGATTGAGCATTTTGAGGAGAAGCTGCTCAAGTTGGAGGGGATGATGAAGACGGAGACGGGGAAGCAGATGGCGAGGAAGAGGACTGAGGTACTGAGGAATTTTGCGAGGCAGTGGGAAGAGGAGACGGAGTTGAGTTTTGAGGTCTTGCAATAGATTCTGTTGGCTTGGCCTGATATCCTCTTCAACGTATGGCTGGACTTGATACCTACACATCTTTTACACCAGTGTAATATTATTACGATATACTACGTGACAAAGGGCCAAACTACACTCGTAAGGCACAGTGGAGGCGATAAATACAATCATCTAGCATGATCCTGATGATGTGAATTTGATGACAGCCATGCAACGTATCCACAACGTCCAAAACTTCGGACGAATCATTCCGACAAAGGTCGTGAAAGTCGTTAACAATGACGGGTAACTGCGGCCCTTGGCAGGACGGGTACGGAGCCGGCCGCCATCGATCTCGACCTGATCAACAACGTTGTTCCCCAACCAGTTCAGCCCTGGAGATCTCGGTTATCGGTAGCGTAACCGACCGTGACGACGAGGGAAGACGAAGGAAAAGAAACATCAGATTCAATTCTGCCGTTCATGACGTAGGTGCACATGCAAACGGTGAGCTGGCATCCCGTGAACTCGGCGGATACTCCGACAGAGTTTCATGCTGCATCTGCTTGACTCATCTGAATGCAATATCTCTCTACCAAACGATGGAGAAAAGACTCGACTGGAACGGCCTTCTTGACCGATGAGCATATGCGGGCCGAATAACGTAGCGTTCGCTCCATAAATTATCCAAGCCACAAGTTGCATGCGATGGAACAAGAAACTATTCCGACTTCTTGATTCGCTACAGTTGTCAACGTCGATACAAACAACAAGGCACAGTCGACCTATACGCTGTGCACTCAACAGTCGAATATGTTATGGAGAAAGGAAATCACGGCATCGAAAGCTGCAATGATGGTGTTCAAGTCAACGGCAAGACTCGTAGATCAGGGTCTGCGGTATGAGTTCCCAGCCAATGAAGCGCAGCACCAGCTTACCAACCTCATCTGGAGCGCGTGCCTCTATCTCCGACCACCTCACCGAGTGTCGCACGCCGCATCCGCCGTACGCTCGTTGCCCACGACCAATTGAGCTGCGGACGACGCTCCGGTGCGACGCTTTCCTCATCGGTAGCATGCAGCCCTCACCTTCAAGTACAGGTCCGACACACACTAGCATACGCTAAGGCATACCCCATCTGTATCTGCGTTGACGTCTGGATTACCCCAGGCAGGCATCCCACCATCGAACTTCCGTATGTATAAATGCAAGGCGGTACTACGGCTGTAGCTCTGCGGGAATACGGGACACCAAGACCATTGCTGTGGAGACAGATATTTGCTGCTCATGCAGATTCAGCTGCAGAAACCTCGATGCGGCTAACCGGAGTAATGCCCTGCTTGCGCTGCTGCAGGTGGACCGTTAGTAGGACGAATGTGGAACAGCCATTGCATCTACTACAGTACACCATCGAATCTCTTCTAGCATGTCGTATTGACGAATGAGAAATATCCACGGAGTTTCCGTACCGTCGCCAATCAGATGGGAGTAGGTCTCACAAAGAACGAGATGATGCCATGCCAGCGCTGAAGTGCCTGCGGCGGACACATGCATCTTCGAAGAGGAATAGTACCAAGACTCAGATCAATCGATCCTTGCGAACACTAAGATGACGGCACGTAATGGCAGTCGCCGAATTCGCATTTCCTTACGTAGAAAAGCTGCTGCGCAAAAGATGAAGTTCGGCTACGTACCCAATCGCGACTCCGACTTCCGATTGGCGGGCTAAGTTGCCGCGTTCCAATTACCATCGAGATCCATTCAGGCCTGGTCTTTCCGCAGCATCGATATTCGAGAAATTCCATCCTTAACTTAAAAGATGGATGACCAGGTTTCTGGGGCCCACCATGATCGCATTTATCATTCCCAGCCTTCGTCTTTGAGGGTTCTCTCCGCGGACCTCTTCCTGCTTTTCCCCCCTTTCGAAAACCATGCGTCCACTCAGACCACTCCTCCCGTCTGCTGTTCGCCCGCGCAATGAACCTCTCCCGCCTTTACCTCGTGACCGCGTCGCGTCTGCTTGCGATCAATGCCGCGCGAGAAAGATCAAATGTAACGGCGAGCGACCTGTCTGTATCGAATGCGTCAAGCGGTCAACATCCTGCCACTACGCTACCCGGTCGTCGGAAACCCAGGGCCAAGCCCTAAAACGCAAATACGATGCCTTGGAAGCCGAAAACGAAGCTTACGTCGAACTGTTCAAGTTGATCCGGACGAGCCCGGATAGCGAGTCGTATGAGCTGCTGAGGAGGGTCAGGAAAGGGCGTGATGTTGAGGATGTGTTGAGGGAGATTAAAGAGGCGGATTTACTCATTCAGCTTAATCCGAAGCCGGAAACGAGGGTTCAGATTACGTTGCCAAGCTTGGCGAGTATTATGCCGAAGCGCATGTCTATGCCGGATAATCCGTACTTTGCGCTGGCGGCGACGAGCCAGGCGCCGTCGAATACGGGCCATAGGTCTTCGCCGGATAACCCGGCTGCTCAGTATCCAAGTCCGCCTGTGTAGTCTTTTGTAGATGTCATCTGGATGGAGACCTACCAGATGTCATGAACAACTGCTCAACGGTGATCAGCGAGATAGCCATTATGCTGTTGTCGAGAGGACAATGCTTGTTTCTGTCGCAGAGAGACAGGGAGTTATAAGACTCGTGAGTCTTGTAAGTATTCATCTTTGGACTGACTAACACCTTCAGCAACTATCCAGCAAAGACGATATATACCTGACTATCAATACTCGCAAGCTTGAGCTGTAAGCCGAACGCCAATCCATGTGTTGGTTATCACACCACCTCTCCCGCATTGGATCAAGATTCACGTCTGCCTTGTCGAAAAGACCACCGACTCATTCTGGAGTCACAAAAACGGTGGCATGTCGGCGACTATGGTTCCCGCTGCGACTGCCTGGACCCTTGTGTTCATCATCGGAGTTACTCTGGCGGGCTGACCGGTCATTATATCGGAAACACGTGCGAATTATGGACAGCGTCTAAGATTTGGCGTGATGCAGCTGATGGAGAGCCATTCCAGGTGGGTAGTGAGAACTTGCGCAACGAGGTGGAAGTGAGGAAGTCGCGAAACCGTGCCTCATCACGTCATGGCGACGATGGGCTTGGCGTCACGTGGACCCGCAAACGGTCCTGCCTTCACCTTTGGTGGGAGGCGATCTCGCTACACGCAGATATTTACGCTCTTTCAAAATTTGCGAGCTTTCCATCTCCCCCGTCGCTACTTCAACAGCGTAACGATATACGCCCTCTGTGCAGACTCTCCCGAAGGTTCACACGCGCCTTTCGCCGCCTTCCAACGATGGACGCCAGAGCCTGGTATAAGAAGATGTATCAGGAAGCCAGGGATGAAGACCCCAACCCGTTCCTCGAGAGATTCAACGCCGTGCCCGTGCCAAAGAAACGCTCCTCTAAGGCTAGAAGATCAATCAACAAGTCCATCTTCCACCCTTTCCCCCGCCTACCTGCTGAGATCCGCGCCAACATATGGGCCATCGCTCTAGAAGATCGCATATACAGACCGGAAAAGCATCATCGTGTCATCCCTCCCCTCAACACGGTCTTCGTCAGCCAGTTCGGGACAAAGGTCTGGGTCAAAACAAGCCGACGCTATCCGGCACTCTTCTTCGTTAACCGCGAAGCCCGCTACGAAGCCGCTAGAGCTGATGGAGGGAAGTGGTACCCTCTGGGAACTAGCGCTATAGAGATATATGCCAATCCCAAAAAGGAGTTTGTCTTCATCTGCGACTTCTACACAGGTCCCCGGCATACCTCGTTCCACCAAATTGCGCAACGTTACAACGCCGATATCTATTTGGATGATCCATCTACATGGTTTGAGGATTCAGACTTAGAGGAGGATTTAGACCTAGAGGAGGATTCAGACTCAGAAGACTTTTGAGGGGATCGTTCCAAGAAAGGCATGACAGGAAGGGTGCGAGCAGATTGGTGCTTTGACCTCTCTGTGAGAGTCAATGGTTATGTGTCGTGTGCACGTGGGGGTGGTGGTAATGGCTACATCGGAAGACACAACGGAATATGGGCACATGCAACGACTGGCTTTAGTCTTCTCTCTTCTTGTCATTGCGACGATGGCACCTGCGAGTTAGCTTCCAGAAAGCATGTAACTAGTACCACGATGAATACATAATGTCCACCGAAAGGGATCCAAACACAACCTCAATACAGCCAGTACATCATCACACACCAGGTTCAACCAAAGGTGACATGAAAGCCAAGCCCAATCTCACTACGTCCGCATTCTTCACTTCCCTCCCTCAATTTTCCCGCGCACCTCCTCAGCACAAGCCCTAACAACCTTCATACAATCCCCCAACTTGAAGCCACACCCCCAAGCTGCATACCTCTGCCTGGTAGTTTCTTCGCGACACGTTTGAACATTATTGTACAGCACAACATTGTGATACTGCGTTTGCCAAAGAAAGCAACGAACGATCGCCAGGATGAAACCGGAGATAATTATTACCCTTGATTTTTTGGGGACGTCAGTGTCGGAAATGAATGCGCTGATGAAGAGGAGTAGGGCTACGGTGGGCGCTTCGTCGAAGGGGTAGGGGAATATGGTTGGTATGGGGTGGAAGAGAAGGATGGGTGGATGGAGAGGGTTTGGGGATGGAGGGTGTGAAGAAGGTCGGGATGGAGAGGGCTTTTTACGTCAAGGGAATCCGAGTACTACCACGAAATCAAGGTAAGGAGATATCGGGTTGTCGCTACATAAGCTAATCCAACGCCCATCGCCTCCCAATTTCTACTCCACCCTCGAAACCATCTACCGTGCCTCACTACATCAAGCCCTCCTCCGCCTGCGGCGTCTTCTTAGACTTCTTGACCTTGTGTTTAGGCGCATCTACCGCCCTTCCATCCCATGTTAGTACCTGTAAGCGAAGGTCTCCATTCGCCTGTGAATCATACCAAGCAGCTAGCTCTTGTACTTTGCTTAGAGGCCTACGCTCTTTTGTTTCGGCTTCGGGGGTAGAGGGTTTTGGGTCAGCGGAGTCAGCGGAGGTAGTGGTGTCATTGGAGTGGTCGGATGGGGCTGTTACTGGTGATGATGGTTCTTCGTGGGTACTTGCTGTATCATCGGTGTCGTCGGAGTGGTCTGATGCGGCTGTTACCGATGAAGATTCTTTATGAGCAATTCCGGTCTCACCGGAGTGTTCGGAAGGAACTGGTACCGGTGATGGTGGTTGCTCATGAGTGGGTTCAGAGTCTAGGAGTGTTAGACTAGGAGATAGTGCAGGTTGAGACATATCGTGGGTTGGTAGGATATCAAGAGGCGTAGATGGATATGTGAACTAGGAAGCGGGGGATGTGGGCGTGAGATTCCTAGAAGAAGGTGGAGGTTTTGTTGGTAAGGTTAATGATGAGAAGAGACAAAAGGTTGAGAGAGAGAGAGGTAGTGGCTGTCTAACAGTGGTTTCAGTAACATTGTTGCGTGTCAAAGCCTGAGACGAAGAACGACAAAGAACGACAAAGAACGAGAGGCGCGATACAGAAGATCTGGGTCGCGCGTTAAGACAATGTGTCTCATTAACAATAACATTCGCATTAACAGTAACAGTAACAACAGCGGCTTTGTATATTGCTGCGCCGGGGTATAAATGAGGTAAAGGAAACGTGAACTTTTGATGCCAGTGGCATCGTAAAAATACATAGTGTACAGATGTCGTTGCTCAAGCACCCTTCTCGTTCTTCTTGAACAAGTAGCGCAAAGCTTTGACGCGCTCCTTGATGGTCTTCGACTGCGTGACTTCGTAGAGGGGCTTGTGCTCCTCGAAGATGTCGTGCTCGCTTTCGTAGTCGACGTGCACGTAGGCTCGCTCAACGTCGGCAAGACCTGTCGAGTGTTAGTGTCGTGTATTGGAAGCTGTTGGTTGAGTGAGACATACCTTCAAGCTTCCTTTGCAGAGTCTGCGAGACGTCGTGAGTGACCTTCAGCGGCAGGCCCTCATCCATGACAATGTCTACCTCAACGTAGTAGTTCTGTCCAGCGTGGTACGCGCGGCAAGTATCGACTCTCTGAATCCTGTCGTCGTGTGTGACAACCATGTAGATCAACTTGCTGATGTAGTCCTTTGGCGCGGACTTGCCAACCAACAGCCAGACGTGATCGAAAGCATTGGCAGCCCAAGAAACCAGGATCAAAAGACCGATAAGAATAGCACCGATAGGGTCGACATACCAGACGACGCGGCTTCCGACGATCGACATGGCAAGACCGAAGGCATTGACGACAATGTCATTGCGATGGTCGATGAAGAAGACGTGGACAGCGGGGTAACGCCGATAGATGAAGCAGTAGACGCACAGGGAGCCTTTGCAGAAAATAGCTGTCGCAACGAAGGCGATGGGGATGATGTGGAGTTCCTCCGATTCCGTGGCACCACCAGCTAAGGAACGCCCAGATTCGATCTTGTTACATGTCAATAGCTGAGCCGGCCACACGGGAAGGAGTACTTACGATGAGCTGGATGGCTACCGTTGTCATCAAACAGCAGAACATGATGATGCCGATCGTCTCGATACGCGTCCGCCCCACGGGGTACTTGTAAACGCTTGGCCGTGCTGCCATGCGCGATGTGATGAGCATGACCACCGACGATACCAAGTCCATGAAGGCGTCTGCAGCTGTCGCGAACAGCGACAATGAACCCGTGGAGATGGCGGCGTACATCTGGATGATGAACAAGCAGAAGTTGACGATGAAGGAAGCGTTCACGGCGAAGCGGACCTTGGGTCCATTCTCGACCATGTCAAGAGCAGCCAAGCGCTCTTCATCTCCGCTCTGGAGGAACTGATCGATCAAGGCATTCTGTCTTGTGTAGAACTTCTTCATGTGCCTGGGCTTGGCGAGTGGATAGTCACTCTTCATCTGTTTCTGGGTCACATCGTCGCGCATGTGTTTGCGGAGATCGAGTGGATCGTTGTGGACGGTGATGGTGACATCGTCCTTGGCTCCCCGCGACGATGCATTGTCTACAGATGACAGCCGCTCAATGGCATCTGTCCTATGCTCGGCGCCGACATTGGCCTGGTTTGACGAAGGCGTAGTGCCAGAGCCTACTGGAGCGCTTGTTTGCCCAGCAGCTTGGTCGTGTGATGGGCCATTAGGTGAAGCTAGACGGACGGTCAGACAAGAGAACCACGGGCTTGGGTTGCCTGAGACATACTGTGAAGATCGGAAGTCATGGTGTCCGGACAATGGGCTGAGGGACGCGTATGTGTGTGTATGGGCGATCTCTAGGATCTGCTACGGTGTGCGAGTTACGAAGTGGGTGATATATGCCTCAGCTCAGGGCATGCAATGTAATAAAGCACCGCTGCGAACGCCACCGCGGCGTATTTCCCGCCCTCCTCCGCACGAGTTTCTTTCTCTGAACCCTGAAGTCATAGTGGAATGGCCAGATCGTTTACTCGGTGCCACAATGTGTGAATACTGCGCGTTGGTGCAGGTGTAGGAATGCTGGGCACGGAGCATGAAACTCGCTAAGCATTTCCAACGGCTCGCTAGTACGTGGTGGGTTAGCCGTGATACCTGTTATGGTATGACTTGATGAGCTTGGCCTTGTCTTGATACCTTATAAGGCTTGGCTGTCTGCATGCGCGGAGGCGTGGTGAAAATGCCCGCGCACGCGTGTACAGCGTGGAGATGTTAGCGGCGATCTAAACTGACCGGAACTTTTGCGATGCTAAGACGCGTTGAAAAGCTTGTCATCTGTGGACGAACGCGTCCCCACACACCCATCTCCATTCTTGAGGTGGGCTTGATGGAATTGTTGTTGGTGCGGTGGTTTGATGAGTCGGAAGACGCGTCGCAAGTTCTCCAGGGTTGGCTATTCTTTCCCTCCGGCTAAAATCGTCACACGCCTGACAGATAGCGCAGCCTTGGAACGCAGTGATCGCCGCGGCAGGATTGCATCGGCTGCAGCGTGGGGCCATAGTGGACGCCATCTATATCCCCACGACGACTTTCTTTTACATCTCCAGGTTTCAAAACTCACCGAGTCGGCCCATGCCAAGCTTATCACTACGGCACGAAACTAAGCCGAGCTTGGCCCACACACGTCAACGCAATCGCGAAACGGCCCATTGGCCAACGACATCGGCATGCTGAGCCACTTCGAACTCCTGCTGCACCAGATGGCAGCAGTCAAGCCTCACCCCTAATGCTTCGCACCTCCACACTTCGTCAGCTGTCCCACTCGCTTGGCCCACTCGCCGGAAACGAGACTTGAGCCGCATCACATCCCCACCCCTTCGCAGATCGAGCGTGCCTGCCAAGCATCTACGCGCATGACAGCCGTCTCCAATGAGCTTCGAAGGCTGGGCGTAGGCAATTCCAGTTCCTGCCTGGAAACCTCATGGCAATGCTTCTTTCGTCTTCGGCGCAAGGCTGGCTGGTCCTGACACCGTCTGGACCTCCGCGTTTGCTGCTTGGAGCACCTATCACTGCAGGCGACAGCTGAGGCACAGGCCACTGTATCGAGGTCCCACTATCGTCTTCAGGTGTTCTGGAGACGTGCAGATCTGCATGATGCGGTTAGTGTCTCTTATCCTACTGGCCCTTAAAGCAATACATAGTCTGGAGTGCCGAGCCTGCTGCCCATATTCACAACATCACTTCTGTGCGTTTTCAGTTCTTGTTACTCTTTGAGAGAGTGTGTTGACTTCCTTTCTTTCTTCGTCTCTTTCTTCTTGTTCATCGTCGCCGGCGACGGGACTGCTGGCAAGTCTGGGATTATTCCACACATTCCTTGAACTAAACATACATTCTTTGTAATCTTCGCAATGGCCGACACGGAGAAGCCTCAGTGCGGCAGCGAGGCGGATGCTGCCGTCTATGACTTTCCTCTGCACGTTGCTGCAGTTTGTAAGTACACC